ACAGCCTCCTCTTCTACTTCCAGAGGACAATTATAAGCTGGTTAAAAAGAAATATGGCACAAAATATACAGCATAAAATAATTTGCACAATTGAATTTTAATAGTTTTTTTAAGTTTAAAAACTATACAAGTGTTTTGTAATTTACATAGATGTCGTTGATGTAATGTTCTTAATTGATGTACACTTTAAATAAGCCAGGATTTTTGGGAGCACAAAAATAATAGTAGCCTAATAGAGAATGTTATAAAAATTAAAAAACAAGAAGATTAAGCTTTATAAAAGAGAGAGAATAAGTCAGAGATTTGGAATTACGCATCAGGCAGAATGATGCTACATCATGGATGTGATTATCGTTTTTTTTTTCAAGTTCCACTGAGGCCAATTTTCCTGAATAGGAATAGAAATATTTATCATTTAAGTGTTGCATACAAAAGGGTTTGTCGGCTTCTTATTTTTAAAGTTAAAATATTGGTTGTTATTAAAGAGATATTTTAAGCTCTATTGTAAAATTAGTGGCCATTAGTAAGGCTTATATGATGACAAGATTGAGTATTAAAAACGTACCATTTAACAATACACAAATACTCGTTGAAATTCACTAGTAAAGAACACGACTTCACGTTTTGTATTTCCGTTGTCTGCTTGTAGACAATTCTGAGAATTATTGTGAAGGTTAAATTTGTTCCAAGCTCGAATCTGTTAGCACGAAACTTACCAGTTATTTCTTTATTAGGCCTTTTTCACTCTTATTACGTAATAGAAAAAAGAAATAAAAAAAACGATGAACCCTATACATAATTTATTTTCAGGCACATTATGTTTATATATTAAGAGCAAACAAAACACACACACACACACAAATGCGACGTTTTTTTTTGTTTTGTTTTTTCACAGTGAAAGGTAAAATGTTTATTTTTAGTTATAGTTAACTAATTACATATTTCCACGATATAAGTAATGAAAATGTCGCAGCGATAGGCTAAAGAATGCATGGCTAGCACCGAAAACAAAACAAAACAATTAATATGTTCGTGTTTTTTTTTGTAGTATTCGGCCATTTGCGTGATGGAGATGTAATAAAGGAAAAATATTTTAGCAGAAACAAATGGAATTGAAATTTTCATTTACTTTAATATAAAATAACAATATGCAAAGCAGAATGTTGCATTTAAAAACAAAATTATATATGAACTTATTAAACAAACTGAGAACAATAACTACGTAAGGCTTAATCTAAATATACAGCTTTAACTGTATGTTTTAGAGCCCCATTTGTCTTTTCTGGATTCGGTGTTTATCTGGTGTTTAAGTAGTTAATGTGGCTGTCCGATATATCACCAGTAAGTCTGCAGGCTTATAGCCCTAAAAATCGGGTTTCGATACTTGAGGTGGGCACAGCACAAATAGCCCATCGTGTAGTTTTGCGCTTAACAACATCCCAACCCTGTCAGTTATAACATGGTACTCTGAACAAAGCATTAATTACAGGACTTGCTTAAAAGAAAAAATATACCTAACTGGTCTTCATTCACTACAACATCACACATTATAACCATAATGCAAATTTATTACTAGTACTTAATCACGATAAAACGGTAAATTTTAATTAATTAAGCAGTTAATCTTATATTTTGATCCTCTATAAGTTGTGTAAAATATATGTTTATGTATTATACATCATTGTAAACTCTATGTAAAGATGTCGTAAACGTACATTAATCTAAAATATATGTTTATGTATTATATATCATTGTAAACTCTCTGTAAAGAGGTCGTAAGCGTACATTAATCTAATAATGGCTGGAGAAGGCTTGAATGGGTAATGAAGAAAAACTTTAATATAAGTTTAACATAACAGCAAATGTACAACGTTTCAACAAGATTTTTGGGCTACTCTTTTACCAACGAATAGTGGGATTGGTCGTCACATTATAACGCCTCCACGGCTGAAAGGGCTAGCATGTTTGGTGTGACGGGGATTCGAACCCGCGATCCTCGGATTGCGAGTCGAGCGCCCTCTTTTTTTTTGTAGTTAAACACATAGCTACACAATAGGTTATCTGTGCCATGCCCACCTGGGAATTGAAATCTGGTTTATATCAGTTCTTTCTGTCTTTCAGGAGCTGGAGAATCTGGAAAGAGTACAATTGTAAAGCAGATGAAGTAAGTAGGAACTTGGTGTATTGTTGAGTAATAATCTGGAACATGTAAACTTCTGTAAAGTAAGCAGGAACTTGGTGTATTGTTGAGTAATAATCTGGAATATGTAAACTTCTGTAAAGTAAGCAGGAACTTGGTGTATTGTTGAGTAATAATCTGGAATATGTAAACTTCTGTAAAGTAAGTAGGAACTTGTTGAGTAATAATCTGGAATATGTAAACGTCTGTAAAGTAAGTAAGAACTTGGTGTATTGTTGAGTAATAATCTGGAATATGTAAACGTCTGTAAAGTAAGCAGGAACTTGGTGTATTGTTGAGTAATAATCTGGAATATGTAAACTTCTGTAAAGTAAGCAGGAACTTGGTGTATTGTTGCGTAATAATCTGGAATATGTAAACTTCTGTAAAGTAAGTAGGAACTTGGTGTATTGTTGAGTAATAATCTGGAATATGTAAACTTCTGTAAAGTAAGCAGGAACTTGGTGTATTGTTGAGTAATAATCTGGAATATGTAAACTTCTGTAATGTATACCAATATTTTGTTCTTTCTTACATTTTATTTGGTAAAGGTCAAAGTTCTTATTGTAAAGTAAGTAGTAGTATTGGTCAATCTAAGCCTATGAAACAGATAGTAGACCATATTTGTTTGGTTAATAAAACCTTACTTTAATTTTAAAACAATCAGAAACATACAGAGGTTTTTGTTGAGTTTATCAATGTTTATATTCCATACTTATATAGATGCTAGGTTATGTAGTCATTCACAGCCTATCGTAACAATTTATATATCAATACACCTTGCCCCTTGTTATTTCTCTGTACTGTGACTACATAGTCTAACACAGATTCATAACAGTTTGTCATCGGAATTAACCCAAGAACACACAGATCCATAACAGTTTGTCATCGGAATTAACCCAAGAACACAGAGATTCATAACAGTTTGTCATCGGAATTAACCCAAGAAACACACAGATCCATAACAGTTTGTCATCGGAATTAACCCAAGAACACACAGATCCATAACAGTTTGTCATCGGAATTAACCCAAGAACACACAGATCCATAACAGTTTGTCATTGGAATTAACCCAAGAACACACAGATCCATAACAGTTGCCATTGGAATTAACCTAAGAACACACAGATCCATAACAGTTTGTCATCGGAATTAACCCAAGAACACACAGATCCATAACAGTTGCCATTGGAATTAATGCAAGAACACACAGATCCATAACAGTTTGTCATTGGAATTAACTCAAGAACACACAGATCCATTGCTTTTAAAGTGGGAGCCTCTTTTGGAACTGTAACAGTGATAACTCACATAGATATAGGGCTACAAAAGCAACGTGAGCCATGTTCACAGATAGCCTAATTGAAGACTAACTATCAAAAGTTGTGTGAATGGTACCAGCATGTGACAAATGGAAGTTTATTCTTGTTAAAAAGTTCAAGTAATACAACATTTCAGTAATGATCGCAAAATATTTTCTAAAAGGATTTATAGTTGTTACATCTATAAAGATATGTTAAATATTTAGGGAGTTGATGAAGCTAACATGCTGACACCACTGTATTGATATAAACACCATCTATTTTTGAACTAGATGATAATAAGGCAAAGAATATAGCCACCTGCCTAAGTCAACATGGTAGGTCATGCAAGAATTCATACTATATCATTTGTAGGCATTTCTTATGGACTCGTTTGCTTTTGATTTAACCAAACAGTACCTTGAAAGTTGTCATTCACAAGTAATCAGAAGAAAGAATTTCCAGCAGAAGCACACAACATTGACCCCAGTGTCTTGCACAGAAGCTACCTAAAAAGGAAATTGCACTGCAAATCAATAGTTCATAATTGAGACCATCACATAGAAATCGGTGGAAGTGGAAGAAGAGGCTATAAGGACCATTACATAGAACATCGGTGGAAGTGGAAGAAGAGGCTATAAGGACCATTACATAGAACATCAGTGGAAGTGGAAGAAGAGGCTATAGGGACCATTACATAGAACATCGGTGGAAGTGGAAGAAGGGGCTGTAATGACCATTACATAGAACATCAGTGGAAGTGGAAGAGGAGGCTGTACGGACCATTACATAGAACATCAGTGGAAGTGGAAGAGGAGGCTGTACGGACCATTACATAGAACATCGGTGGAAGTGGAAGAAGAGGCTATAAGGACCATTACATAGAACATCGTGGAAGTAGAAGAGGAGGCTGTAAGGACCATTACATAGAACATCGGTGGAAGTGGAAGAAGAGGCTATTAGGACCATTACATAGAACATCGGCAGAACTATTCTCACAAACTTGCTTGATGTAATGTCATGTGCTCTCTAGCTAACCATCAAATTACGTCATTCAGAATATAGCTTATAACACTAGTAAATTTCTATGTTACATTCTGGAAAGAC